TGTAGGTGGTTATCTTCGGTTCAAATCTAGATCTGTTTGTCGCATCCATCTGTTTAAGCAACCAGGATGTAAGAAATTTCCTAGCGACTTCGTGGATTATAGATCCAGGTTCATCTTTAATATCATCAGTTTCTATGTACTCAATGTAGTACAATGAGTCCAGTCCGTTTCTGACTTCGGATGACCAGATGAAATAATTTTCGTCCGATAGGGGTTTTTCGGGACAAATTTTACTTAGAGCTTGATTCACGTATACGGCTTGAAGCTGTTTATTTGTTCCTTGCATAACTGGTTGACTCAATGGAGCAGACATCTTTGAATCAGACGGAGGTGGATTGTTTAAATTACTTGACGGGGAAATGTTGGATGGATTTCTAATAGATTGGAGTAGAGAATCAGTTATCTGGAGTAATGTATTGTTGCCTTCTTCCTCGGATTGAGAGTGAGTTGACGATGGTGGGTTACCAGCTGATGTTGATACTAGTCCGTGATCGCTCATGAGATGATTTCATGGATCGCTTTGAGTTTGAGATATGTATCTCTCGCTACAATGAAAATGTCTACGTGACTTGGAATACGGTCTGTGATAAATGTTCCTGTGACAAAGAGGAACTGATATGCGCTATAAGTTAGATAAGGATCACTAGAAGTTCTCCTGTTATAGGAAAGAACTCTGACCTGATATGCGCTATAAGTTAGATAAGGATCACTAGAAGTTCTCCTGTTATAGGAAAGAACTCTGACCTATAATGTAGATAGATTTGATAAAGTAGAGCACACGATGTTATGGTGAGCTCTCAGTGATCTAAGTGAAAGATAGGTTTCTCTTTCCAAAGATTATTAATTACCTGATATGCGCTATAAGTTAGATAAGGATCACTAGAAGTTCTCCTGTTATAGGAAAGAACTCTGACCTACAACAAATAAGAGAAAGATACAAATATAAATATGAAAGATAAGTCTCGACTCTTCTATTATTGATAACAAAAGTAAATACCTATAATGTAGATAGATTTGATAAAGTAGAGCACACGATGTTATGGTGAGCTCTCAGTGATCTAAGTGAAAGATAGCTACAATGTTATAACAGTTAGTTGGATACATAATATGAAAAGGTTCTAAGATGGGATACGTACGTTTCTCTTTCCAAAGATGAGGAAAGAGAAAACGTTACAAATGAAAAGTAACTATCTTATAAAGGCTTTCAGATACATTGACGTCATAGTAAGTGTTTTCATTTCGTCATAGCTTTCGTAACATGTAATTAGGAAATTGTAACTCCTTGCTTCTATTCTTCATCTTCTCATCCTGAGTCGATTGAACACCAACATGATCACATTCTGAATGCCACATTTTGCCTCTACAATCTGGACACACAAAGAATGCCAGCTCCTGAGCTCTCACACATAAGAAACAGAAGAGCTGCAATGAATGAGAATAATATAAAACAAACTTTGTCTTAATATTTTAAAATACTCGGAATTTGCTCACAAACAAAAATTTATTGGCTTCCTATGGAATTGTAAAGATAAAACAGTTTCTTTACCAATTAAGAAGTTAGATTCTCAAAAGCGGGAGCTCAAGAAGTTTATGTCGAAGGAATGGTTCTTGAAGCACGAGGTAGAAAAGTTCAATGGCAAATTGGGACACTTGACACTGATCCTTCCGCAACTGAAAGTGTATCTAGCGGCCATCTATAAATGGGTCGCAGTTTGGAGAACTCCAGGGAAGAGGAAAATGCCTAATGATGTGAAAGAAGACTTAGTGTACTGGGAGTCAATACTGAAAGACTTGAAGCCTACTAGGATCCTACCAGACCACGTAGTTCGAAACGTTGGCTGGGTTGGGGACGCATCAAGTGAATATGGTATAGGTATCATATTAGGAAAGTCTTGGGCGCAATTCAAGTGGATCAACGGGTGGAAGACACCCCTGGACCAACCCAAGCAAACCATTGCTTGGGCTGAAACGTTAGCTGTTCAATTAGGGCTGATAATGTTGAAAACAAAGATGGACTTGGCTGGTTTCACCTTTTCTTGCCTGACGGACAATACGACCACGGAAGGCGCGGCAAGAAATATAAAATCTCGTGATTATTGGGTTAATGAAGAGTGGAAATTGGTCCAGACGCTCCTGGTCGAAAATGATTGTGATCTGAACTTGGTTAGAGTGATATCTAACAACAATGAAGCGGACTGTTTGTCTAGGGGCCTAGATCCTTCGAAAGATATAAAAGACATGTTAACTATCGACATTCCAGTCGATCTGCTCCCGCTACTACACCAAGTTTTTCATCCATCACCTAAACAATCGTCAATTTAAATCATGTTGTCACCGAGAGATGTACTTCGACAGACGAGTCCAGGCGTTTTTCAAGATCTAGACGACGCGAGCGAGTTCATTTTACATAGAGGCTGGGCCTTGTCGACGGTCAAACACTACGCTGCCGCTGTCAACAAGTATTTTAAATTCATGAGTAGCTACCCGCAACGCTGGGCCACTGCGCTGCAAAAAAGGCGCAGCGCGCCGCAATGCACCGCACCGGGTGTTCTACGCACCGCACCGCACTGCACCGGGGCACTCAAATGCCTGGTACGTTAGGTGTTAAGGACCCATAATCTACAGGGCTGCGGTGCAAATGCAGCGGTGCACCAGGCAGCGCAACCCCACAGCGGCCCGGCCCTGGTTTGTAGGGTGAAGGGTCTTGATTATCTCCGATATCTCGTGATACACATTGAGCCAAGTTGAACTCCTTGCACGATGAAACCCCCTCGATTGACTAGCTCAGCCCAATCCTTGCTTACTTACCCGGTCCCTAATCCATCAAGACAACTTGGACCAACGAGGATGATAAACTCTCAATTGACTGGGCCAGAGTGCCCTCAAATATTACTGACACCACCCCAATCCTTGCTTAGTTCCACGCTGTTTAGTGTTATATCGGCATGGCATCCCTTTCTAAACTCTCAATTGACTGGGCCAGAGTGGTGCCCTCAAATATTACTGACACCACCCCAATCCTTGCTTAGTTCCACACTGTTTAGTGTTATATCTTCATGGCATCCCTTTCTAAACTCTCAAGACTGCACTCATCTGATTATTCAACTTCAAGTTCCTTCATCACTCGACAAAGTTTTTCTTTTGCTCCACCCAAATTCGACTATTCCTCTTTGTTCTTATTTTTTGCTACACCTAGGTTTTGTTTTAACCATCGGTTTATTAAACATGTCCAGTAGTCCAGGCGAGGGACCACACTCAGGTCAATCTCAATCCCAGAACGAAGGTCAAGCTCCTTCAATTTCCACTCAAAATGTGCCTTCGACCCCTCTTCGACGTTCAATTCGTCCACCAACACCTCGAAAAGACTTATCTAGAATGATTCAGCCATCTTCCGATTGCAGAATCTCAATCCCCCTGCCAGCTTCCAAATCCACGTCACGCAAGAAGTCAGGTGGAAAGAAGGACACCAATAACAACAGCTCAATCAACGTAGATTTGCCTTCCACCAGTTCTCGAGCAAAGAAACGAAAGAAGGCACCGGCATCCGCATCCAGAGTGAGTTCCATCCACATATTATTGAGCTCATCTCTTGATCTCACTCAAAACTTCATGATTTTTCTTCTCTATTATTATATCATAGCCTAATGAGGATGATGTTCCGTCGGAGGGCGAGATGACCCAAGACTCCGATGACGGCTTAACCAATCGGCAAAAAACCAAGCGAGCTAAGGTCATGGAAGAACAATCCGAAGAGGAAATCGAGTACGACGAGGTTCGAGATTACTTTGCTGAACCTACATACAGGAGCGGTGATGTGAGTTTCTGTTCTAGTTCGGTTAAATAGCTCTTTTCCTGACTTATTATGGTTTCTTTTGTAGGATTGCTCAATGAAACCACTTTCATATGAATGTCTTTGGTGTGGAATGGTTTGCCGAGCGTCTGTTGACTCGTATACCAACCTGAAATCGCACCGGGACGGTTATGTTGGCAAGAAAGGTCGCACTCGACCTTTCTGTAAAGCCCGCCAGAACGCTATCGATGCTGGAGGGAACCTTCCACCAACAGCTTTTGAAAGAAACAAGAAAGCCATCAATGAAAGCCAACAAGACATCACGATGTTTTTTGATTCAAAGGACTCTAAGCTTAAGTTCGACAACACCACACTCAATCAGATCCTCACGGTATGGATCCTCGCGGGAGCCCTACCTTGGAGTCGAATCGAAGACCACTACTTACGCCTAGCCTTCCGCTACATCCGACGTGACACCAAGATCTTTGGACGGACGTGGGTGGCTAGAGAGGCAGCTGGGATGTATATGTCGTTTCAAAACACAGTCTTGAAAGAATTAGCTGTAAGTTTTAAATTAAATCTCTCCGTTACCTTTTTCTCAATGTATTTCTCTTTCTCGGGTCCCTGATTTGAATTCTTCTTTCAATACGGCAGGGAAACCAGGGCAGGTTTACACTGATTCACGATGGTTGGACCACCGCAAACAACATCCACGCCTTCTTAGGGGCTTCAGTTGCATACATTGAGCACAATTGGATGTACCAAGTCCGCCATCTTACCCTTAAACTGGTTGCTTGGCATCACAACGGGAAATGGCTTGCACAGCCTTTAGTTCATTTCATGAAGAAGCATAAACTTCATTACAAGATAAGTTTTTTTTACTTGAATCTTATCTTGACCTAATTCTAATTGATCTTTTTTGTACTACCACATGCTGGGCCAGGTCACAGACTCTGGATCCAACAATATCACTATGGCCGAGGAGATGCACACCCAATTTCAAATTGCCAAAGATCAAATGACAACCTCTTCTGATCCCAAAACTACAACTCAATCTTACACCTGGGATCCCAAAACCAACTATCATCGATGTTTTCTTCACAAGATCTCATCAACGGTAAAGGGTGGTCTGGCCGAGCTAGGTCGTGCAACTCCTTCACGAGACCAACAGCGTGAATCGCTTCTTGGGGTCTTTCCAATCCCTGAACGGATGCCAGTCATCGCCAAAGAGGACGAGGACGAATCTCAAGAGAAATCAAAAAGTATTGTGATTGATTGCAAAGATCAAGGTGATGATGACCTACCGGCCGAAGACGAAGATGGGACTGATCATGATTCAGAGGCCGAGGATTTCACAGCCTGTGCTCCAGACTACGATGAAGATGTGGAGGATCAAATCGACAATCAAGATCCCTTTAACCCTACGGAAACCTCTAGTCTTGACGATTTCAAGAACAACGCCTCCAGGAAGCACGCGAAGGAGCTCAATGAATTGATTAGTAAGGTACATCAATTCTTATTTGTCATCACAACCTGGAAATTTTCTGACTTTGACTATTGTTCACTCTAGGCTAATTTTATTTCACAACGTGTTGCTTGATCTGCGGCGTGGAGAAGACATTTTGCCAGAAAGGCAAAAAGTCTCAACCTGAAACTTTTACCTCTTATACCGGGATACAACGCAACTCGTTGGAATGCAGAATTTGATTCTCTTAATCGGTTGGTGCAGGCACACAAGGTCAGCTCTTCACTTGTTTCTCATCAAATTGCTCTAATGATTGGTATCAATAGGTTGTCAACAAACTTCTTGCCGAAGACCTCGAACGAGTCAGAAGCAAGAAAAAGCGAGCAAGGTCTTCTCAAAAACCACGTGGATATCTTCATGAGATATACTTCTCCCCCGATGACTGGAGCTCCCTTGAAGATTTGACCCGCGAACTCGAAGTGAGTAGTCCATTGAAAGTAACCAGGTCTTTTATCTTTGCATGTTTAATGATTACATACTCTTGACAGCCTTTCTTAGAACTGACCAAGCGTATGGAGGGTGACGGTCCGACTGGATCCATGGTGATACCAGAGTTCTACGCATTGAAGGTTCACCTTGCCAATCGGGCAAACAAACTTCAATTGGGAGATGCCCTTTTACCAATGATTATCTCAATGCAAAATCGTGTTGACAGATATCTTGAAGAGGCTTTGCAATGTGACACCACTGTCATGGCAAGCCTCCTCAATCCTTTCTTTCGACTGGCATTCTATGAACAAGCTTTTGGACCTCAACATTCACACACTGTCCGTGCTGGAGTTTTATTTCGAAAAAAATTTGAGGAACAAAAAGACGAGATCACATCATTGACATCAGCTACGCCTAAAGAGAAACCTGCTCGGACGAAAACCTCTGGAGTTCCGACAGCCGGTGTCTTTCAACTTTTCAAAGCTCAAGAGCCGAGGGTTCAGCTTGACGAAGTCGCAGCCTACTTAAAGGGATCTCATCCCATGGCTATGACAGATAACGCACGCGAAAGTAAAGCAATCCTCCCATGGTGGAAGGTATGTGATTTTTTTGTTTGATATTCTTTCCTCAATTTATTAACATGTCCCAATCTCTACAGGTGAACTGTAAGGCTTTTCCAATACTGGCGTCTCTGGCTCAAGACTATATGAGTCTCCCAGCCGGTTCGGCCACGGTTGAAAGAACCTTCTCGGCTGCTGCAGATATCTGCAGCAGCGATCGTGTTTCCCTGGTTCCAAAAACTATTGAGTGCTGCGTAGGTTCAAGGCTCTGGATCCGGCAAGGCGTACCTCTAGCTCACAAGTACACCGAGGTGAACGAGGCAATTGAGGCTTTTGGTGGCAGGAATGTCAAAGTTGCGACTTAGGAGGTTTTTTTTAGTTTTTATCTTGAATTTGTTCTAGTTCCTTTAAATCAACACACGTAGAGTGCCAAAGAATGCAATACAAAGAGAATTTCAGTGCTCATGGAGTAGCCTGTGACTGTCATTTCCGCCGTTGCGAACGTTGCGCAACGCGCAACGCACAGGGTAATTCCATGGTCCGCTTCGTTGCCCCTTTTGTGGGCTAAAAATCTCCGGTGCGATGCACCGCAACCCCCCGCTGCGAGCAACGCAGCGCAGTGGCCCAGCGTTGCTACCCGGTAGTCCTTTTCCCAACTACCCCCCAAATGATATACCTCTTTGTGTTGTGGTGCAACAACCCCCGACCACAGTGCAGTGCAGCGCAATTTTGGCACAAATTGCGCTGTGCCGTCTGTTGGCCCAGTGAACACTGCACAGCGCTGCGAAACAGCGCAGTGGATGAATATCGGGGGTGGGCCATGCGCTGAGAGTCGCGCAGTTATGCACAGCGCAGTGGTGAAAAACTGCGCATTTTTTTGCCCAATTTTTTTTTTCACAAACTTGTAAATAAAGAAATAGGGCACAAGACACACGAGACAGAGCACACAGAGCAAGCAGTAAAGACAGACATTATAAGGAAGAAAACAAAAAACAAATATCTGAGAAGATAAGATAGGAAGAAAGAATAAGGATAAAGAAGAAAACCTTTAATAACTACGCCTTTCCATTTTTTTTCTTCTTTGCCAAACCTGCAACAAGCTGTTCCACAGCTCCAACTGCCTTTCCAAGATCGCCTGAAGGCACAAACTTTTGTTTGAGCCATTGACAAATCACCTGTGGCTACCCGCCCCTTCGGATACTAGCCGAAAGGAAACGGGTCATTCCTATCGGCGACAGGCCGAAGACCCCCCTTCCGACGCGCCGACGCGGCCGCCGCGTCGGATTCACAACTACAAAAACACAAGTTCACACATGAATTTTAACATCGCCAACAGTATCACCACGTAAACATAGTATCAACATACTACTATTAAGACATAGAACACTTACATACAAAATTACCCAACATCCCAAGATGTTACATAAGAAGCTGTCACACAAGTGTGATCTCCAGTCACACGTGGTGTGAATCTCGGTCACACATGGGTGATTTCGGGTCACACATGTGTGATAGATGGTCACACATGTGTGACTGGAGATCACACTTGTAAATTTACGGTTTGTTGCACATGTTCTTTGTCACACATGTGTGACCCTACACATTCAACTGTGCTACATATACATAAGCAACAAGCAACCATGTTACATACATAGCAGATATCACACATGGACGTATTTCAGTCAAAACGCACATGTGTGCAATCGAATCACACTTATATTACAGGTTACATGAGATCACACATGTGTGATCATGAATCACACAGGTTACGCCAACAGATTCCAATTGACACAAGTCGAATCTGTCACAACATAAGTGTGAGTGACTTTCACACAAGTGTGCAATGCAATCACACCACACCATCAATTACACATGTGTGATTCTCCCTTACACAAGTGTGAACACACGTGTAGCCACAAATCACAACTATTGTGATTCACCCACAAATTGGCCTCATCACACATAGATTTTAAAAACACATTCTTCCCCTCAAAGACAGACTTTCCCGAATCATAACAAGATACCCCATTGTCGAACGAATATGTCAACCTCTAACACAAACGAACCCAATCCAAACAATACCACCGAGACCTCCAACAATACCACCGAGACCTCCAACAATACCACCGTTATACCTCCCCTCCCTCAGCCCGCACCCTCTTATCTTACGGTAAAAGCTACCGAGCACTTTATCAAATCTCACGGCAACGCACATCGCTACCCAGTTACCATAAACGACGGCCGACCATCATTTACCCAATGGAAATGTGGACTTGGACCCAATCGGAAGCACCTGCAAGCAAAGGCCGAAAACCCCAACCTAACCATTCCCACCTGTCCATTTCAAGTCACCTCCAAGCGAAATCCAGACGATTGGACTTGGTTCATCGTCATCGAGAATCCTAACCACAATCATGGCCCTGTTGTGAACTTCAAACCGATGACTTTACCTGACCTAACGAACGATACCTTTGTACCTAAGCAAAAAAAACGCAAACGAGTTGTTGCAGATTCAGCAACCCCTATTCAAAGCACCTCCAATCCCACACCAGCGACACAACCTGCAGGCTCTTCAGATCCCACACCAACTCAGTTTCCAACCCGATTTCAAGCCTTGTTCGACGAGATGAAGCCCCTCGACGAATCGGACCAGGACCTTCTCCTTGACCGATTCTTTCGTCAGTGTAAGCTAGTTAAGGCACTCGACCAGAAAGGAATGACAAGTAATGAAGTAAGTTATTTCATTATTTGATATCGATTTCATTAATCAATCAAGAATACTAACAATTTTTTCGGAACCACAGGTACTTAACCCATCACCTACGACTTCACCAATCCGCCAGACCGAGCCGATCAAAACATCCCACCCCAAACAGGCGACTTCTAATGAAGAAGAAAATGAAGACACAGATGAAGCAGCTCAGCATAAGAACGACCTCCCAGACCTTGATCAAACCGAACAAGAGACTAAAAGTGTTGAGAATAACAAAGAGAATGAGGAGATAGCTGCTAGATTACGTACTTCAAATCAGGTAAACAAAATAACCCATCAAAGTTCGTCAAAAACTCCTATTTCAAAATCCAACAAGGAGAATACTCCTCATCAGCGAGCAACTCGTAGTGAGAGTAACAAGGATTCAATCAGACCGATACGTCAATCTTCACGAAAGACTTCACAAGGAACTGAACAGGTGAGTCGAGTAGCCTACTTACTTCAAATGTACATCTTTGCTCGTTCCACTAATCCATTACTCACTTACTTCCTGCTTAGAACGAAATCAATCCAACATCATCTGTCAGTATCTGGTGTAACTTAAATATGAAGATCGCTTACTAATTCAACTTGACTTGCTTACACTTGGTTACTAATTAGAAGGAACCGAACACCAAGAGATCCAAGAAGAACAACAACAAGGTAAGCTCTCAAATAGCTATTAGCTATGCATATCATTTTAGCTTATTCAAACATATAAAATGTATTAACCAGACCCGGATTTCGATTACTCCACCTTTAGGAACCAAGGATCCCAACAACAACTGCCTCCCGAAAAACCTCGAAGAGATAGCTTTGCAAGTGAGGACTATTTATCTTTCATAGTTGCATCACTTCTTACTGACGAATATATCAGCAATGGCATTTTGTAGCAACACTTCCCAGTTACCTTTACCCCTTCATTCGGAATGCCACAAATGTACCTGCGAAGGGGCTCTGTACTTTTGCAGCCGTAGCGGTCTCCCTTGGACGAACTGTGGAGGATGCTGTCGCTGTTCGTGCAGAGATGGCTACACACATCAACCAAAACCAATCCTGGTATAGGAGTAATCTATGGAAATTAAGTACAAGCAGGATCAGTCTCAACAAAATGCTCTCTATAGTGGAGTATCCAGCGGACGACATTGTACCTCGATCACATTGGTATCCACTGCCGGGCGGTTGTAGTGTAATCGCAAACACTTATAATAGACCGGTAATTTTTTATTCCAATGTGGCAACTGCGTGTTCAACAACTCCCCCTCTTTTGTCAGCACCTGGGGAAAATGTGGAGCCAATTATCCTGGGTATTATTGATGGATGCCACTGTATATCCCTCCAGCTTGAATTTTCTAAAAGTCTACCCGTACCTTTTCTTAATCCTGACTGGCTGCATCTACGAAGTTCAGAAGCCTCCGGCTGGGATCCATCATATGAAGAAAACATCCAGGTTTTCAAACAGTGGAGAAAAGAATGCAACGGAAGGAAATCAGAAAATTGCGAGCAGCATGATCAGATTTTGTAACAAATGTCTTCTTCTTGTGTACTTACTAAACTAATACTTACATCTTAGCTTGAAAATATTCCAACTTCCTTGATGATAAAGATGAATTACAAAGTTTTTCACACTATTCACAATAGCGTAATTGAATGTCACAAATGTGTTATTGAGAGTCACAAATGTGTGACAGGGATTCACAAATGTGTGACAGAGATTCACAACTGTGTGATCCTCATTCACACATTTGTGAATCTCAATCAATATTCCAACTTCCTTGTTTATAAAGATGAATTACAAAGTTTTTCACATTATTCACAATAGCGTAATTGAATGTCACAAATGTGTGATTGAGATTCACATATGTGTGATTACGATTCACAAATGTGTGACAGGGATTCACAACTGTGTGACCTTCATTCACACATTTGTGATCCTCAATTACACTTGTGTGAATCTCAATCACACATTTGTGATTGTTAAAGATTAACAAATTTGTGACCAACAATCACAGTGTGTTCTTCATATGGGTCTTTCTCAACCACAAGAATCACAGACACATTTGCGTGTGTTTACTCTAATCTCAATCTCATGAGAAATTATTTTAACTTGGCTTAATATGAAAAATAAATGCATACATTGTTTTCTTATTATCTTTTTGGAACACAAGTTTCCATCATCAAATAAGTTGGTTTACAATCTGGTCACAAATGAGTGTGATTCAGGGTCCCAATTGTGTGATTGAGTGTCACAATTCACAATTGTGTGAATTGGAGTCACACAAGTGTGAATCACCTTCACACAATTGTGACACTGAATTTTGCGTGTTTTTACTCTAATCTCAATCCCATGAGAAAATATTTAAACTTGGCTTAATATGAAAAAGAAATACATACTTTGTTTTCTTATTATCTTTTTGGAACACGAGTTTCCATCAATCTGGTCACAAATTAGTGTGATTCAGGGTCCCAATGGTGAGATTGAGTTTCACAATTCACAATCGTGTGAATTGGTGTCACACAAGTGTGAATTGTGATCACACAATTGTGACACTTACTTTTGCGTGTTTTTACTCTAATCTCAATCCCATGAGAAAATATTTAAACTTGGCTTAATATGAAAAAGAAATACATACTTTGTTTTCTTATTATCTTTTTGGAACAGGAGTTTCCATCATCAAATAAGTTGTTTTACAATTTGGTCACAAATTAGTGTGATTCAGGGTCCCATTTGTGTAAATGAGTGTCACAATTGTGTGATTCAGTGTCACAATTGTGTGATTCAGTGTCACACAATTGTGACGCTCAATCACACAATTGTGTGACACTGATCTCACATCTTTTTTCAATCACAACATCAATAATCACAAAGAATTTGGTGATTATTAATCACGCATTTGTCAAACTCATTCAAGATGATATCAATTCCTTTCTAGTTTATCTATCAGGGGCAGAATAACCCACACATTTCACTATATAGGTAAGCTAGTATATCTGGATTTCATACAACTCGGGAATCTAATTTTGAAACTCTCCTTTGATCTTTTAATATGTATTATTTCTTTTTGACTTGCTTTTCAACTTTCTTCAACTTCTTCAAATCATCCTGCTCCAAAGCCTTCTCTGTTTTGTTGATAGACTCTTGCTCGTAGTCTTTCACCCTACCAGCACAATACTTCTCCCACTGTGCATCTGTCATATCTTTCTTCTTCTCCCCAAGTAGCTTGATTCTATTAACCAAATCTTGTGAAATTTGACAAGAAGATCCGTACATGGTCACTACACCCTTCTTATGAGGAATTATATCACCATTACCATTATAAGCTACTGAAGAAGTTGTGTAATGTTCACACTGCACGTGAAAATCAGACCAAATGAAACCAAATATTGGCAAAGTCAGCAATGTTCCATATGATATCTTATGCACCACTCACCGTTGTATCCCATAAGATATCATATACACCGTTACACTCGGATACAGCAACCTCCACATCAAAGTCATCATATCTAAATCTTGTACCTCTTACTTCACCCAGCTTCACTCCGTCCTTATTACCTATTTTAACCCCCTTGACTTTATCATACGGTAAACCAGTCTTTCTAATTATCAATGCCCACATACCAAAAGCATATCTACTATGATCTTTGTCAGTATGTGGATGATTACAAAACCCGTCACATGTAACAACCAGATTGGATGCAAATACTAAACCATTTGGAGTTAGTTGCCATTTAAGTTGATCGAATCCGGGAATCTTGGCTTGAAATGCCAGAGCTAGATTCGTCTTGAAAACAAAGAGTGATAATAAAGAAAATCTTCCTGCCCAGAAATCCCTGATACGATGAAATTCCGTCATTCTCTCTTTATCAGTTTGAATTCTACCTATATCAGATGAAGTAAATGAGTTCATCGAGTACACCCCTATACAAAAAACATCCAGAAGAGCATTATGAAAATGAATATTGGTAAGATACTTAGTATTAGTTTATTGAATACACTCATTACTATAAAGTAGTGAGAGCTCACCTAAAGATTTATCTTTTTCGCATCCTCCTCGCCATCCCCCACAGCCCATCCATCCTTCAAGAGGTTTCATCTCATCATCTTTGTTTCCATCCGGCTGAATAGAACTATGTATTTTGCATTGATTTCGAGCACGTGCATGTAGGAATGTGGTTGATATAGAATGATCATAACGGGCTCTAAGTGCAGGATCCATCTCTTCATATGGTATACATTTAACTACTAAAACTATCGATAGATCAATTTTATTGATCACAACTACAGTTCCGGAACTAATACTAATTCGTTCACGATCAGCCAGATCAGGTCTATCTTTCAAACTGTAACGAAAAATAAACTTGGTGTCTAAGGGTAAGCCAAGCTCCGAAGTGAGTTTTGCTTTTAATTCCTTTCGTTTTGCGTGATGACGACTGTATAATTTGCTTAACTTCTTCTCCCTCTTGTATTTATCCCTAGATTTATAGTAGGCCGGCGATGTTCTGGACTTGTTCGTGGGAACCTTCACCCCAGCTTTCCTCTTCCTTTCATTACTTCGCGCACGGCTCATCTTATCTATTTGCTTTTAATCAAACAAAATGGAAATTGGTAGAAGAAATATCAGTCATGGTCAAGAATTGTGATAACTGACATGTTCTATAAGGGAAAAATTACATACTTGCAAAACAGATGTTATATTCGATCCTTTATATTATCTAGAGGATGGATAGAAATGGGAACAGATGATACCTAGATTAAGTTTAGTAATAAAAGCATTCTCAGCTCCAAATGCAATCAACAAGTCTGAAGATTGTAATCCCTTCTTCAAAGCTACATATGAATATATATGGCAAGTTACCTTCAATTGTATGAATTAAATATCATAAATGATTGATCGGTTTAAATCAGCAAGTGTACTTCAATTTTATCAAATTGATTTGAATAATGATGGATCGATTTCCTATCAAACCCATTGAAATAAGTGTAAAAACAGATTTATAGTCAGATTTGAATCAGCATAAAGCATAAGATAAGTTAACGAATGCGAACTCGAGTTAACTAAATATAAATCTTGTATCCTCTGTTGATTTTGATTAATACCAAGTCGATTTCTTTCGATAGATGTCCAAAAGTGTCGATGATACACTAGTAGTAGAGGGCAGAAGATTGAGATATTAGAAGATAATCTACAATTTGAATCAAAATGAGGATTAGTCTGAGCTTACACAAATCTAAGGATTTCTTCTTGAACTAGACTAGCACACCAATCTCCGCAGTAGGCCGAATGACTCCCGGTTCGTAGCACGGAGTCCAACAATTAGGAGCACTCAGCAACAGACTGGGAGATGATGTGATAGTTTATATCTCCTCGAGCCAAGTTTATATTGCCTCCAGCCAAGTTACCAAGTCCGGATTATCCTGTGGATCAATGGAAAGGGTAATCGGCCTAAAACGAGAAAACAAAGATATGAGCAAAACATGAAGTCAAACCGAGTAAATTTGAACCTTGACTTACCAAGAATACAACAAACTCCTTTATGATTATCGAATCCAAATAAGTCAGTTGGTGAATCGGGGTGAGCTGGAGGGATAGATGAGTGATACAAAGAGATACATGGCTCGTGATGTGGTACGGAATCTTTAGGGTTAGGTTTGCCCAGCCCTCATCTCTTATTACCTATGAGGGTTAGGGGTTAATTTATGATCCAATACATATTTTATGATTCAAAATAAATACATACAACACAAACCATCCCATCATTTTAAAACCCCATCCGAAACACAGATTCGCCATCAATCATGACCGACTGCCCAAGCCGAAGTTTATCCCTGCGTTACGATCTTGCTCATCCTATCATCAAACCTATTCACAACGCTTTTGACCACATCAAAGATCCTTTCATAAAACAACTCTTTATGAATTATCACACTCAAAAGAGCGGTCCAAATCATTGTGAGGAGGGGGAGGGAATCTTGAGGTTCTGGTCGGGAATTCAAAGTATTATCGACCAGGTAAAGTCATATATAAGTCTTTGGTCACCAGTCTTTTACTGACTGGATCTCCTTCATCACCGGATATGCAGCGTCGTTACCAACTTCTTAACACTCGTTGGATGATCTCAAATAAGAATCAATTGCATGAGGCTACGAAAATGGAACACATTAGACGTGGATCAGAAGAAGATTCTGACTTTGTACGATGCAAACTCTAGATCTTACATCATGAGAAGTCCATCTGTGTTCAACCACAGAGTCTATGTGAGTAGTTTTCGATGCCAATTGTTCCATCGATTCTTCGGATGGCTTACTTTGCTTCAATATTCAAATTCCAATAATAGATCTCAAATTTTGAATCGGTGCTTACTTTCTTTTAATATTCGAAATAAATTTGACTTTGTATTAAGTTTTGAATTAAAACAATATCTAACTGTTCTTCTATCTCTGTCAAATCTCTTTGGTTTTATTACACATAGTAAAACCCTAAGGATCAGTAGATGTCAAATATTGAATTGGTGCTTACTTTGATTTAATATTCGAAATAAATTTGACTTTGATTTAAGTCTTGATTTTATAAATTTGACTTTGTTTTAAGTTTCGATTTTGAACGATAGATAACTCATCTTCTATCTCTATCAATTATCTTTGGAGTTATTACACATATTAAAACCCTAAGGTTCAGCGTAATGAGAAATATATTTATTAGTCAGGAAAAGTGAACTACATTGGTAAACACCTGCAATATAGCTGAGAGTTGTTAGATTTGAAAGAGTTGTCAAAAATGAAGGATAACAGCATGATATCCTTCTGATTACATGTTTGATTCATACCCGTATGGTATGAATGCAAGAGATATGATTATCTATGTTAATTATATATGATCTCAAAGAGACATTGAGATCATTTAAATGTTCCTTATGTATATGAATTTGAATTTGCCACAAATCATGATTTTGATTCTAAATGATCACAAAGAGACATATATGGAGCATTTAAATGATCCATATATGTCTCTTTTAGAATCCAATAGAGGAATGTGCATGATGGTATATGTAAATAATTCACCATTTCTAATGATGAAAATTAACCAAAGACCCGTAAACTTGCAGGATCTATGTGAATGAAGATTTATGTATGAACATAATTCATCAATCAAAAGGTGAAAATTCAAAAGGTGAAAATTAATTATTGATGTGTTCAGTCCAGAAATACTGACTTGTTTCTTTGGAAATACCTTTTTATCAGTTAGGGAAGATGGAATGAAATCTCAATTTTGAAGGACACATATTTATCCACATATTCTTCATACCTAGTTATACCCGCTTTCCATAAATGTAGAATTGCTTTGAAATTGCTTTCACAGTTTGGGCAGAAATTGTGAAAGGAAAAGATATGAATGACACAATTTGCTGCCATTGAAATTTATGTGTGTAACTAGGTCAAAATATGATCATACACAATTTACCAAACACAACGTGTTCCGGATGATGTGAAAGGTAGGTCATAGATCAAATGATCATGGCTGATTCCAAATATACACTTACTTTTAGTGTGGTGCGGAAACTGCAAAAGTTGTGGTGTTATCATACCTTTGAATTCAGGTATGTGTGTAACTAGGTCAAAATATGATCATACACAATTTACCCAAGACAACTTGTTCAGGAACATGTGAAAGGTACGTCATAGAGTAAGTGAACATGCCTGATTCCAAATATGCACTTACTTTTATTGTGGTGCGGAAACTGCAAAAGTTGTGGTGTTATCATACCTTTGAATTCAGGTATGCGTGTAACTAGGTCAAAATATGATCATACACAATTTACCAAACACAACTTGTTCCGGATGATGTGAAAGGTAGGTCATAGAGTAAGTGAACATGCCTGATTCCAAATATACACTTACTTTTAGTGTGGTGCGGAAACTGAAAAAGTTGTGGTGTTATCATACCTTTGTAATCAGGTATGCGTGTAACTAGGTCAAAATATGATCATACACAACTTGTTCCGGATGATGTGAAAGGTAGGTCATAGAGTAAGTGAACATGCCTGATTCCAAATATACAATTACTTTTAGTGTGGTGCGGAAACTGCAAAAGTTGTGGTGTCATCATACCTTTGAAATCAGGTATGCGTGTAACTAGGTCATTATATGATCATACACATTTTACCAAAGACAACCTGTTCCGGAACAGGTGTGTTATTAATCACCCAACTGTGTGAATGTTAATCACACATGCGTGATTGACAATTTTGTTGTGGAACAGAATTTTGGTAGCTCTTCAATATAAAAACAAAAAAAAACCAACTTGCTCCGGAACAGGTGTGTGATTCATCATTGCACATGTGTGATTGACATTTTTGTTGTGGAACAGAATATTTGCAGCTCTTCAATATAAAAACAAAAAAAAAACCGTAAACATCTTCTAAAGAGATATAGTTTAGAAAGATAAGGAAGGAAAGCAAAGATTTTGACATATAAGTGAAGTGTTTGAAATAAACATTGAATCAAGATGTCTAAAACCATATTTAAGTTATTTAAGTCTAGAATCAAGTGTAGAATAAGGTGAAAGGAACCACTGTGCTTCAAAATATATATATTCCACAGTTTTGATCCGAATTCATTCCTCATCCCCTAATCCACCCCATTCTTCATCATCATCCACTTCATCATCAAGAGTTACGCCTTGGGTGTTAGTGACCTCTTCATCTATATCCATTTGAACAATATCATCATTTTGAACATCAGGAGATGCTATCTTTTCCAAGTTGAATAGATTTGCTTTGATATCATCAAGCCACAAAGATCTTCGACTGTTCATGGCATTGAATCCAAGTTTCAAAGTTTGATATGGTAGTTTAGAACCTGGTAATTGAATAATTTTAATATCGTAACCCTTGTCTAGCAATATGGCTTCTGGGTCTGGGCCTCGTGGAAAACCGACTTCATATCCAAGTAACGCCTCTGATTATAAGAGTAAGCAGATCAGCATCCAATCAATCATGAGTTATATGAACCAAACTTACTCATACGTGTTCGCAACTCCAGAGCTAGATCTGCCTTCACTTTATCCCCAGGATCCGTTTTTCTAGCCTTTTCTGTCATCGTACCATTGCCTCCGATGGTATCAGCTACGACCTCACCGGCAGAAAGTCCTTGAGCCCTGGCTGCAAACAAGGTAGCAAAACTGCTCTTCTTGTTCACGTATTTTCCCATATCGTCTAAACTTGTATACTGTTCACACCATCCTTGGGAAGATGAGTCCACCTCAGTTGAACTATGGTTGCTACATGCTAGAAGATAGTAGTCAAACCCCATGTTTTTTGACTCGTCCTCAATCTGTCAAGGGCAAAGTTGACCCGTAGTAGTCAATAAAAACAACTACTACCTTATTTTTGAGAGAATGGAAGTCAAACCTGATTGTGAAGACGCTCAATACACTTAAGAGACTGACGATTGTAGTCTGGCAGAGTGGGCCCCGCTGGTATACCTTTACTGGCTTTCGAATACTCTTTAGCCACTTTTTCCTTCCATACTATCTGATCATATAATCGCTGGAGCGCTTCACGTTCGCCAGGCTCCAAGACAATCTCTTCTTCTTGCTGTTCTTCATCGAGCTGAAGTCTCTTTCCATGTTGAGAATAAGAGAGGCCGGATAGCACATGAAAAACGGGAGGTGAAAACACCTCTCGATGGCTTGCCGGAAGACCAGTCCATATATGGCCAAGTATCTTATTTCGAGAAGCTAAGATACCTTTCTGCCCCCATTTGCGTGGCACTATTAAAGAATCATTCATGGGATTATCCAGGGAATTCTAAAAATTTAAGAGGAAGATAACTCACTTTTCTTTCTATAATTTTCGATCTCTTTGCCAAACTTCAACCAAATTTGATAACCGCTAGGTCTTTGTCGACCTCCAAGTTCACCTCTGTTGGAGAAAGAGATCAGTTAAGTGGCAAAAGCAAGATATCATAAGAGATATTGGACTTACAAAGCTTTGTTCATTGTAAATATACTGACATTACCCATGATTGCCAGCAGCGACTTATGTTGCTTGTAGAGCTTTTGAAGGGCGCGAGCTTCGGTTAGAATTTTAGGGGGAACGGCAGTGCCCTTCCTCTTTTGCAATCGTTCTTGCACAGCTATACGGGCAGGAGGCCAGTCGTCAACTAGTTGTTTATAGTTGTGAATGGTAGGTAGGACCGTTTTGGCGGCTTCCTCCTCTGTTTGAGCATTTGATGAGCGGAGAGCACGGCGGTTGTTGGTCCCAGTAGGGGGAGGGGGTGAGCCAGGATCTTCTTCCTCCGGTGAGATTTGCCTTGCAAGTCGATCCATGATCGATTCTGTTTCGTTGTTCTCGTCCGGGTGGCGATCTGTCAAGTGCAACCGGCGTAAATCGGGTTGGAGATTTCATCTTATCAGTTTGTTTCTTTTTATTCAAATAATACGCATCATTATAAGGAAGATAACGCCGGCTGCTTACCATCCTCATCAACGTCATCTTCTACGTCCTCATCGTCAAGAGCCATTTCTGCTGCGGTCAAGTTGTCTCGGTGTCGGGTTTGGGGAGTACGTTTGCGATTGGAGAGCACCCTTGATGATCTGGACTTTGAACCGATCGATCGGGACCCATTGTGGACTTTGCGTTTGGAGCGCATGGGTTTCTGTTGGAACTAGAAGATCAATTGTTCTGCATCATATAGGTAACGAGTGGCAATCAAAGGTAAAGAAAAGACAGATGGAAGGGGAGGGAGGATTAGTGTGTGATTGAGCCTCGAGTGTGGTTGCGCACAGACAGGGGTGAGATGTTACAAATACCTTGTGGTGTAGGCCAATTCCAAAGAAGTGTGTACAGGACCGATAAAATCTTGCACGTGATTCTGTACAGTCTCTCAAGAGATAATTAAGGTGCAACTTCTCACATATGACCTTGATTATTGCGTGCAAGGACTGCATAGGATGGGATTATCGATATGATTCATCTCCTCGTTTTGCAGAGCAGGTCACCTCAGTTCACCTACCTGAAATGTTATCAACATGTATCAACTTCATCTGGTATCAATTGGATGTTCCCAATTAATACCAGATCAATTGGGGAGGAATACATAACCTGAGACTATGAAAACCGCCGTCCCAATTTTCAAACCAGCCGTCCCAATTGAAAATGGAGTAGTGGACAGTTGCCATTCTTGGTAGACAGGGGCCAGTGAAAGTATCTGTCAGCTTTAGTCTGATTGAAATGAGTCTGTGCACGTTGAAGAAAAAAGACATCCTCAAATCCCGATGACTCGTTAAAAAATCTCCTCAAACGAACCAATTCTTCAGTATATTCCCTAAGTTCTTCATATCTACAAATCTCAAGCTCCTCACATTTCCATATCGATATTATCTACGACAGATGGGCAAGAAGGGTACCTCAGTTCCTTGTCCTTTTGGTGGAAAACAAAAGAAGAAACGCACAATTATAGCAGCTGAAGGCTCTGGAATAATTGTTGAAGCAGTTCAAGATAGCGAGGCTCGATATGTGAAAGATCGGATAGAACAGCTAGAACTAGCACTGGAGCACGCAGCAAATGGCCTCAATGGAAATATCGATGATGATGTGAATGCGCCTGCCCACCATGAACCAGATGTCATGGAAATGGAGGAGGATAACATCAATTTCAATCTTATGCCACAACAGCCGCACGATGATCCCGAAGTGGTGGTACCACCAGAACAAAACGTCACATTCTCTAACTATGTCCGGGGCTCTTATTACAAAAGCAAAAGATTGGCCGAAAAGAAAAATTGGGCCAACAATTTACCGGATATTTTTATGACATATATGACACTATGTAAAAAAACTTTACAATGGGGTCATACAGCAACCTGGGATAAGGATTTTAACCATGGCTGCTGCTGTGGAGATGGCAAACTACGTACTCGCAAGGTTGATATGCTAGACATAGTTAGTGCGTGGCCAGCTTGGTCTCTTATTCATTTTATCAATTTTGTTGACATGTGTGGCGGTGCAACCTTATTAAAGCTCGTAAGCAGGAAGAAATACAATTCTGTGATTGTACTTCAGATCAGGTTCGTTTGATGAGAATGGGGTACATAGGTGGTTCACCTGTGCATCCGCAGACTGCATATTCCATCAGGCTACTCCGGCTTCATCATGGACTGTGGAAATTTTGCACTGTACGAACACAAGGATTTGCACTGGCATTGGATTCCTTCCTTGATCCGGCTTGTCCAATGCTATTGGTCAAAAAATCCAAACAAGTGAGTGGAGTGAGAGCTTTATAAGTTCCACGACTCTGGATGAAATGTTTGGAAACTAACATATATTTCATTGAGCTCTCCAGCCTAGACGATGGAGAAAGACACTTTCTTCAGCAATTGATGCTTTTTGATATATGCTGCGAAAGGAGAAAGAACTTACTATCTGTGCTTTGTATCTCTCCGCATTGGATGTACTGGCCATGAACTGCCCAAGATGTTTTGGTCCTCTTCAGCAGAATGATATACCAGATGAATGTGATTATCACGTATGCACGGATGGCAACTTCCAACACCGGAGACATCTTGCAGCAAGTCGGGAGTGTGAGGAGGATCAAATGGAAACTCCACCGCTTTTCCTGGATCCTAAGGAAATTGACGAGTGGGAGAAACATGTCAGCAACCAAGGTCGAGTTAAAGAACCGCAGGTATGTAGCTCCCCTTCTTTTCACACAATTGTGATACGTGATCACACAACTGTGATACGGTATCACACAATTGTGATACGGTATCACACAATTGTGATACGTGATCACACAATTGGGATACGTGATCACACAATTGTGTGATTGCTTAACACACTTTTGTGATTCCTAATCACAATCATGTGATTGCGTATCACAAGGAATCACACAATTGTGATTGACCTTCACACAATTGTGATATGTGATCACACAATTGTGACTGGGAATCACACAATTGTGATTACTTACCACACGTTTGTGATTCCTAATCACAATTGTGTGATCACATATCACAATTGTGTGATCACGTATCACAATTGTGTGATTCACAGTTACAATTGTGTGATTATGTATTACAATTGTGTGATTCTTAGTCGCAATCTTGTGAAGGTCAATCACAATTGTGTGATTCCATATCACAAATGTGTGAATCTTTATCACAATTGTGTGAATCTGTATCACAATCGTGTGAATCCTAATTGAATACGTCAGGTTGAGTTCTGATGACTGTGTTCATTAGGATCGTTGTTCAGTCTCGCACACAGCCGCAGCAGATGTTCGAGGACGGTCAACCTGGAAGGGATGCGACGAAACAGGGCTGATTGGACTTGCATGTCAACATGATCATGTGTTGAAATTTGTGAATGTAATCCAAAGTGGAGAGCGGTAAGTTTTTGAAACTGTGAACCTTCCACATGCGTGTGGTTGGACTGATTGATATCATTGAATAACAGTCAGTATTATGTACTGGCATTGCTTGATCAATTGATGAAAGATACCTCTGAACCTGGAAAACCGCCCAAAAGCTTTCAAATCTTGTATGACATTGGTTGTACCTTGGAAAAAAGTGTTAAGAATGTGAGAATAGGTATTTTTGTTCTCTGTTATTATTTCAATGCACTCTGAAGTACTTTGCCTCCTTTAACAGCATAAGTATTTTGAAGAAGAGTATGCGCGGGGAGATATCAGATTTGCCACTAGTGCCTTTCATGCTTATGCTCACGAGTGGACTTGTCAACTGAAATATAATCCCAGGTTGAACAAGGGTTGGGGTTTGTCAGATGGCGAAGGTTTAGAGCGGGATTGGTCGGAACTGGATCCACTTATAGCGCCATGTCGATGCTCAACAAAACAACATCGAGTAGATATGATTGATTTAAAGTCCAGTCACTGCAATGATATGCGATGCAGAAATGCTGGTATGTCTATATGATCTCCATCTATAATACTTCCTTCTAAGTTGAATATCATTTTCAATTCATATTTAGCGCGGTCAATTGAGGTGAAGCTAAAGACAGCTGAAAAGCGGTTGGATGTTGCATCTGACACTCTTGAGAAGCTAGAGACTCAAGATGACTCATATACATGGGTGTATTTCTCGGACCAGTGGGACCGGCAGAGACAGTTGCAACTTGCTGCAATGGCGGATGGTGACGCTCAGCAGGAACTAGAGGATCGCCTTGTGGAACTACTGGACCTTGAGGCAGAAGTTAAAGATGCTCAGTTCGTTTGTTGAATGTGCAAGCCTTCAAAGATAGTGGTCTGATATCAATTATAATATAGTGATGAACTTCGTCGACTGCGAAGGAAACGACGAAGAAATTGGACAGATGATGAAGTTGAATCTTCACTCACCTTACCAGTGTCCATTGTTGAACTTGAGAAATCTATTGCAGATGTGACAGAAGAGTTAGGAAGTCCGGAGTTCCGCCGGCTTCGTGCGTCAACTGGTTAGTACCATATCCTGACTGATCAGGATTGGACTTTGGCTGACCAATTTGTGCCTCCTTTTTTTCTTAAAGGTAAAAAAGCTGAGGCACTCATACGTGTGCGCCTGGCAAAGATGAAGCTTTATGAAGCCAAAGTGGGTATCGTGGAGGCTCAAAAGAAGTGGGACAAGTACGCTGAAGGTAGGTGTTTGATTTCGATTTTGTTTTTGGTTCATTTGTTTAATTTTTAAAAGGATGTGGAATTAATTTTTGAATTAACTTACATTTGGAACAATGCAGGAACCAAAGCACAACAGGGTATGAAAACTCTGATGACGAAGAAACAGTTGATGTTCAAACGCAAATGGACTTCATATGAATATCAAGTCTCACTATACAACCGAATCCGCCCTATCAGCCGCATGGGTTGTCCTTCCCTTGATGAAGCCAAGAGACTCCCTTTCGAGGATAATTTCTGGAATGTAGGTGCGCTTACACATCCCACGGAGAAATGGGCTGTGGATGCGCAAACCATTGAAGGCATACAGGCTTTTTTGCAACAGCGGAGTTGTCGGGAAGAGCTTAGAAGGTTGGGAAGGGAGGCTCAGCAGATGGTACACCAAGCACTGAATATGGAATTAAAATTTGATGATTTACTAGCTTTGTGTAGTGGTGGTAAGTCCTGCTTAATAATGTTATGTGCGTGTGAAGTTTCTGATAATGATCTTGGTTCAGAAGATTATGATCCTGAAGGAGGTGGAAAGGAGCTAATTGAATTAGTTCAGCCCGGTCAGCGCGTCTCAAAGGATGTTTGGGAGGTGAATTTGGGGGTTTTGAAAGCGCTTCACAGCAATCTTTGTCAGATGCATTATGGGACATGGATGACTTGGGACGGAAATATTGTAGAGTTATTGAGAAGAACTCATCACCACACAATGGCGACAGAGCAAGAGATTAATACATTGATTCAGCGCTGGAAAAGTTTGGTGCGTAGAGGTCAGTCAATATTGGAAGATATTATCGATGCCAAACATATAGAAGCCACTGATCTTGATGAGCTGGAAGATTTTGAGCAAAATATGCTTCACGGGGAAGGTGAAAATGATTTTGGGGGGGAGCTAGGTGAGATGGTGGATCAGCTCTTCATCCATGATGATGAAGATGAAGATGAATGGGAGGGTATTGTGGATGATGATAATATGATGAATAGCTAGCTAAGAA